CAAAGGTGGGAGCAAGGTGCAAGGATCAATGGTGGGGAGCAAGGTGGGGAGCAAGGTGGGGAGCAAGGTGGGGAGCAAGGTGGGGAGCAAGGTGGGGAGCAAGGTGGGGAGCAAGGTGGGGAGCAAGGTGGGGAGCAAGGTGGGGCAGCAAGGTGGGGAGCAAGGTGGGGAGCAAGGTGGGGAGCAAGGTGGGGAGCAAGGTGGGGAGCAAGGTGGGGAGCAAAGGTGGGGAGCAAGGTGGGGAGCAAGGTGGGGAGCAAGGTGGGGAGCAGGTGGGGAGCAAGGTGGGGAGCAAGGTGGGGAGCAAGGTGGGGAGCAAGGTGGGGAGCAAGGTGGGGAGCAAGGTGGGGAGCAATGGTGGGGAGCAAGGTGGGCATATCAAGGTGGGGAGCAAGGTGGGGAGCAAGGTGGGGAGCAAGGTGGGGAGCAAGGTGGGAGGGGAGCAAGGTGGGGAGCAAGGTGGGGAGCAAGGTGGGGAGCAAGGTGGGGAGCAAGGTGGGGAGCAAGGTCGGGGAGCAAGGTGGGGAGCAAGGTTGGGGAGCAAGGTGGGGAGCAAGGTGGGGAGCAAGGTGGGGAGCAAGGTGGGGAGCAAGGTGGGGAGCAAGGTGGGGAGCAAGGCAAGGTAGGGGAGGCAAGGTGGGGAGCAAGGTGGGGAGCAAGGTGGGGAGCAAGGTGGGGAGCAAGGTGGGGAGCAGGTGGGAGCAAGGTTTGTGGAGCAAGGTGGGGAGCAAGGTGGGGAGCAAGGTGGGGAGCAAGGTGGGGAGCAAGGTGGGGAGCAAGGTGGGGAGGCAAGGTGGGGAGCAAGGTGGGGAGCAAGGTGGGGAGCAAGGTGGGGAGCAACTGGTGGGGAGAAGGTGGGGAGCAAGGTGGGGAGCAAGGTGGGGAGCAAGGTGGGGAGCAAGGTGGGGAGCAATGTGGGGAGCAAGGTGGAGCAAGGTGGGGAGCAAGGTGGGGAGCAAGGTGGGGAGCAAGGTGGGGAGCAAGGGTGGGAGCAAGGTGGGAGCAAGGTGGGGAGCAAGGTGGGGAGCAAGGTGGGGAGCAAGGTGGGGAGCAAGGTGGGGAGCAAGGTGGGGAGGCCAGTGGGGAGCAAGGTGGGGAGCAAGGTGGGGAAGCAAGGTGGGGAGCAAGTTGGGAGCAAGGTGGGGAGCATGGTGGGGAGCAAGGTGGGGAGCAATGTGGGGAGCAAGGTGGGGAGCAAGGTGGGAGCAAGGTGGGGAGCAAGGTGGGAGGCAAGGTGGGGAGCAAGGTGGGGAGCAAGGTGGGGAGCAAGGTGGGGAGCAAGGTGGGGAGCAAGGTGGGGAGCAAGGTGGGGAGCAAGGTGGGGAGCAAGGTGGGGAGCAAGGTGGGGAGCAAGGTGGGGAGCAAGGTGGGGAGCAAGGTGGGGAGCAAGGTGGGGAGCAAGGTGGGGAGCAAGGTGGGGAGCAAGGTGGGGAGCAAGGTGGGGAGCAAGGTGGGGAGCAAGGTGGGGAGCAAGGTGGGGAGCAAGGTGGGGAGCAAGGTGGGGAGCAAGGTGGGGAGCAAGGTGGGGAGCAAGGTGGGGAGCAAGGTGGGGAGCAAGGTGGGGAGCAAGGTGGGGAGCAAGGTGGGGAGCAAGGTGGGGAGCAAGGTGGGGAGCAAGGTGGGGAGCAAGGTGGGGAGCAAGGTGGGGAGCAAGGTGGGGAGCAAGGTGGGGAGCAAGGTGGGGAGCAAGGTGGGGAGCAAGGTGGGGAGCAAGGTGGGGAGCAAGGTGGGGAGCAAGGTGGGGAGCAAGGTGGGGAGCAAGGTGGGGAGCAAGGTGGGGAGCAAGGTGGGGAGCAAGGTGGGGAGCAAGGTGGGGAGCAAGGTGGGGAGCAAGGTGGGGAGCAAGGTGGGGAGCAAGGTGGGGAGCAAGGTGGGGAGCAAGGTGGGGAGCAAGGTGGGGAGCAAGGTGGGGAGCAAGGTGGGGAGCAAGGTGGGGAGCAAGGTGGGGAGCAAGGTGGGGAGCAAGGTGGGGAGCAAGGTGGGGAGCAAGGTGGGGAGCAAGGTGGGGAGCAAGGTGGGGAGCAAGGTGGGGAGCAAGGTGGGGAGCAAGGTGGGGAGCAAGGTGGGGAGCAAGGTGGGGAGCAAGGTGGGGAGCAAGGTGGGGAGCAAGGTGGGGAGCAAGGTGGGGAGCAAGGTGGGGAGCAAGGTGGGGAGCAAGGTGGGGAGCAAGGTGGGGAGCAAGGTGGGGAGCAAGGTGGGGAGCAAGGTGGGGAGCAAGGTGGGGAGCAAGGTGGGGAGCAAGGTGGGGAGCAAGGTGGGGAGCAAGGTGGGGAGCAAGGTGGGGAGCAAGGTGGGGAGCAAGGTGGGGAGCAAGGTGGGGAGCAAGGTGGGGAGCAAGGTGGGGAGCAAGGTGGGGAGCAAGGTGGGGAGCAAGGTGGGGAGCAAGGTGGGGAGCAAGGTGGGGAGCAAGGTGGGGAGCAAGGTGGGGAGCAAGGTGGGGAGCAAGGTGGGGAGCAAGGTGGGGAGCAAGGTGGGGAGCAAGGTGGGGAGCAAGGTGGGGAGCAAGGTGGGGAGCAAGGTGGGGAGCAAGGTGGGGAGCAAGGTGGGGAGCAAGGTGGGGAGCAAGGTGGGGAGCAAGGTGGGGAGCAAGGTGGGGAGCAAGGTGGGGAGCAAGGTGGGGAGCAAGGTGGGGAGCAAGGTGGGGAGCAAGGTGGGGAGCAAGGTGGGGAGCAAGGTGGGGAGCAAGGTGGGGAGCAAGGTGGGGAGCAAGGTGGGGAGCAAGGTGGGGAGCAAGGGGGGAGCAAGGTGGGGAGCAAGGTGGGGAGCAAGGTGGGGAGCAAGGTGGGGAGCAAGGTGGGGAGCAAGGTGGGGAGCAAGGTGGGGAGCAAGGTGGGGAGCAAGGTGGGGAGCAAGGTGGGGAGCAAGGTGGGGAGCAAGGTGGGGAGCAAGGTGGGGAGCAAGGTGGGGAGCAAGGTGGGGAGCAAGGTGGGGAGCAAGGTGGGGAGCAAGGTGGGGAGCAAGGTGGGGAGCAAGGTGGGGAGCAAGGTGGGGAGCAAGGTGGGGAGCAAGGTGGGGAGCAAGGTGGGGAGCAAGGTGGGGAGCAAGGTGGGGAGCAAGGTGGGGAGCAAGGTGGGGAGCAAGGTGGGGAGCAAGGTGGGGAGCAAGGTGGGGAGCAAGGTGGGGAGCAAGGTGGGGAGCAAGGTGGGGAGCAAGGTGGGGAGCAAGGTGGGGAGCAAGGTGGGCCCATGCAGGGCATCCCCGTAACTCTCCCCCTTCGTGCTAGCTGGCATCCCCGTCACTGTCGCCATCCCTCCCTTCTCCCTTCCCAACTCGCACACTTGTCAGGCCCACTCACTCCTTTGGTTTCCCACGCCCCACTCTCCAGCCCCTCAGCTGCTGGAAAGCAGATCTACGACCGGATCCGCCCCGAGGCGAACCCCTCCGCGCACCGCCACGCCGGTCACGAAGCAGCAGCAGCCCACAGCGCACTTCGGCAGAATATGCGAGATAGGGCGTGCAGCTGGCAGAGCTGCGAGGCAGCCTCTTCTCGAGACTGCCTTCAGCCTCCCCTGCTGCCCCATACCATATGCTGACTTGCGCCCGATAAGGCCCTGCATTTGAAGTTGCCGCCTTCCCTGCGTGTGAGGGATTGTACACTGCAACGCGTGACAGCCAGCACTGTGCAGGCAACTGTGTTGAATCTGGATCATGGGACACAGACATTTGAATCGAGCAGAGCAGGGTGGTGTGGTCAGTGCGGAGTGGCATGGTAGGAAGGCGCAAGAAGGCAAGCATAGAGAGTAGAGGCCGCGGCATGATATGGAGATTGGCAGCAGGGATCGACTTGTGGGTCGTGCTTTGTTTGGGGCCAATGGTTTATATGCTGAATATGGGTTACTTGTTGATAATACTGTGTGCAAGGGGTGTACTGTGTATGCCCTATCTCAATCTTGCCCCGAGCTCCAACGCGTAAAAAGTCTTGAACAAGTGAGCTTGTTCCTAGCTGTGATATTCTCTACCAAACATAAACAAGATAGCCAACGACAAGCATAAAGGTGTGTCATCATACATGGTGAAAACGCATCTCGCCAAAGAATGTTTAGGTTGGTACGTAGCACTTCGAATCCGTAAAGCGCTCTTGCCGTTATAGAACCGGACACATCATAGTCAGCCGCTTTGAATGAACTGCAAGTTCACCAAGCATGACACGCCCTTAGAAAAACGACTTGCTGTTGCCTATAAACTAAAGCCGATTTCCCCAAGATACGTTGTGGGATTTATGCGGAGCTTCACTCCAGATGGTCGAGATGAATATGTCTAGGTAAGCCCAGCCGAGATGAGTGGTCAAGAGTGGCGTCGTCGGGCACATGAAAGGAGCGTCCTTTGGATAACTGGCAAATGGCAAAGGAATGAAAGAGAGGTAAAATTCAAAGACAGCCGGACGTTTGCCAGAAAAACTGGAAGGTGGAAAAGAAATGAGTCCAAGTGAAATGCAAATGCTAGAACACCAAGTGCTGCTTACGCTGCGGCACCAGCGAGGCATGGTCACCCACACTGCACCCCGCACACTGACAGCGGGAACATGTGATGATGTGCCCCTAGTACTAGACAGTGGTGTTTGAGAAACAACTGCTGTGCAAATGACATAAGACCGCGCGCTGCTGAGCATGAGGCAGCAGAAATGACATGCATGAGCTAGTGCTACAGATAGCTTTGTAGTCTGACATGCCAAGGCGATGGTGCGATGTGCTGTTCTTCCTGTGGCAGCAGCCACGACTGTAGCAACAAGTTTGAACATGCATGCAAACCCGAACAGCAGTAGCACAAGGGCAACCAGAGTCCATTACCGCGATGCATGAGGCACCGGACATTGACGTACGAGAACGAGCTCATCTGCAAAGGCAGCAGCACGAGACATTCACGACAACTGACCTGCCAGGGACTGTCGCGATGCATGAGGCACTAGTGATGGATGGTTAGACGAGCACTGACCTGCCAAGGTTGCAGTGTGATGTTTTGTCGTTCTTGCCGCCGCCCAGATGAAAGGGTGACTGTCAAACTCAGCAGTGCAACAGCAAAACGTCCTTTGGATAACTGGCAAATGGAGAAGGAATGAAAGGGAGGTAAACTTCAAAGACAGCGGGACGTTCGCACGGAAAACTAGAAAATGGGAAAGGAATGAGTTCCAAGTGGAATGCAAACGCAAGAAAACCAAGTGCTGCTTGCGCTGCGGCACCAGCGAGGCATGGCCACCCACGCAGCACCCTGCACACCGACAGCGGGACCATGTGATGATGTGCCCCTAGTACTAGACAGTGGTGTTTGAGAAACAACTGCTGTGCAAATGACATAGGACTGCGCGCTGCTGTGCATGAGGCCCCATGCATGGGATGGTTGGATGAGGACTGACCTGCCAAGGCAGCAGTGCGATGAAAGGGACATGGGGAAGCAAGGAAAGGGACATGGGGAAGCAAGGAAAGGGACATGGGGAAGCAAGGAAAGGGACATGGGGAAGCAAGGAAAGGGACATGGGGAAGCAAGGAAAGGGACATGGGGAAGCATGGAAGGGGATGGGGGGAAGAAGGGAAGAGGATGGGGGGAAGCATGTAAAGGGATGCGGGAATGAAGGGAAGGGGATGGGGGAAAGCAGGGAAAGGGACACGGGGAAGCAGGGAAGGGGACATGGAGAAGCAGGGAAGGGGATGGGGGGAAGAAGGGAAGGGGATGGGGGGAAGCAGGGAAGGGGACATGGGGAAGCAGGGAAAGGGACATGGGGAAGCAAGGAAAGGGACATGGGGAAGCAGGGGAGGGCGTGGGGGGAAGCAGGGACGGGGACATGCGGAAGCAGGGAAGGGGACATGGGGAAGCAGGGAAGGGGACATGGGGAAGCATGTAAAGGGATGGGGGGAAGCAGGGAAGGGGATGGGGGGAAGTAGGGAAAGGGACACGGGGAAGCAGGGAAAGGGACATGGGGAAGCAGGGAAGGGGACATGGGGAAGTAGGGAAGGGGACACGGGGAAGCAGGGAAGGGGACATGGGGAAGTAGGGAAGGGGACACGGGGAAGCAGGGAAGGGGACATGGGGAAGTAGGGAAAGGGACATGGGGAAGCAGGGAAGGGGTCATGGGGAAGTAGGGAAAGGGACACGGGGAAGCAGGGAAGGGGATGGTGTGACTATAGATGCTTTAAAACATGTTACTGCGACAGTAGGAGCTCAGTCGCGACTTGCAGTTTCCTTTGTTGCAGTTTCCGTTATGCCCGTTACTGCACATGTATCGGTCTGAGTTTTGTCAGTGCCGAATCGGTGGACCGGAAACTCCGCAGTGAAACACGCGGGGTATTGCAACGAGAGCTGTTTGTGCTGCGGAATCTCAAGACACGTCGTGTCAATGAAGACGCTTGACCTGGTGACTATAGTAATCTATTTTCCCGTTGCCACCCTCTTACCGATTCTAATTGCGTCACGCTCGTAGTGCAGCTCGTCGCCCTATAAATCCGAGCTCCTCTCTTAGTCTTCTCCCTGGCGCTCGCCGTTACCTCCCTCCTACCGCAATCGCATGCGTATTGTCGATTTGGTCCTGCGCACTATCGTCGTAGTTGGAGGCGTTGGGGTATTCAATCGCGTTCGTAAGTTCCACTGAATGTTTTCCTCACAGATACTCCGTCTTCCCCTACGTTTTCTTTGAGATCGTAGAGAGAGAGTAGGCCTTTCCGCTCGACACCTTGCTGCCATGTGAGTACGCTCCCACTGATGCTTCTCTCTCAAACTCAACAACCGGCCCTCTTACGTACTTTCCGTACGTGCCACGTTCAGGCTAAACGTTGCATTAGTCTGGGAATTACGTTGACTTCTCCTGCGCCGCGGTGTCACGTGCACGCTTAGCTTTATTGTTGTATCACCTGCCGAAGGACAAGCATTGCTGGTAGTCGAGGGACCTACCAGTTCCTCCTGAGCACCATCAGGCACGTAGCATTACGTGGCTGGAGCTATCGTGTCGCATTTGCGGCTGGTTCCCTGTTTCTACCTACCACATGTGATCGCGCCAATCCATTTACACCGAGCACAACACCCTGCGTTTTCGTTTTTCTGCTCACGTCGCGCCCTGCGATTCGATTGCACAGATGCATTTCTAGAGGGCTGATTGGCTGCGATGCCCTAAACCCAAGTCGCGAGCGTCTCTGGCGTTGTCGCCCTGCATCGCTAGGGGATTCCCCTTCTCGAGAGTGGGCCTCTCACAATCTCGCCCTTCAGTGTGGCATTTTCAGGGGCTCGAGGCTTCTCTTCCCATATTCTTGGAGAAGCCTGTCGCACAGTTGAGTGACGAATTCAAGGTTTGCTCGTTAGCTGGTTTGGCTCTCGCTACGTTTTTTGGCTTTCGCCAACCATGTTAAAGCCATTATTCGATTTTCCAAAAAACCATGCTGACCTCGGGCTTAAAAAAAAAACAGAATCATTGTGTTCGTCGAGCAGCTCCGAGGTGCAAGAATGAGCTCAAACAATCAACATTGACATTCCCTTGCAAGGCAAGTCCAAGTCAAGCCGTAATGCAGAGGGACAAGCGGGCGAGACATTAGCTGCATTTTTTAGGTGGGCATGCAGCGATGGTGGATATGCAGTGCAACGCTGCAGGGAACTAGTCAAGAAGGAAACATTAGTCATGACTCGTGACCATGAGGCCAGGCAAGTCTGCTCTGCTCGCTGCGTCCACAAGGAAATACCACACGGTTCTTTCCACTGGGTTTTCATCTTTCCATGTGCCTAACTGGGGATGTGAGTGGGTGCTGCAGGAGCAGAGGCGTGGGGAGGGGGGGAGGGGCTTGCAGGATGCGGCAGCATGGAAGGGTGCATGTGCATGTGCATCTGCATGTGCATGTGCATGGGCATTGGCATGTGCATAGGCATGGGTGCATGCATGGGTGCTTGCATGGGTGCTTGCATGGGCGATCGGACGGGAGAGAAGGCCAGAGCAGGATGCAGCAGGTGGGGGTGGTGATGGTTGAAGGGGCTCTGGGGATGGGGGAATGGCATGGGTGCATGCAGTGCGTGCATTGGGGGCCCTGGAGTGACAGGAGCAGATTGAACGCCAGACTGCTGCTGCGGCTGCTGCTGCTGTTGCTGCTGCTGCTGTTGCTGCTGGAGCTGCTGTTGCTGCCTGGGTGGGGTCTGGATGAATTGTGAGGTGAATTGCAGGGGATGCTGCTGGGGATGTGGCGGTGAAAAAAGTGCCCCTGTTGCTGCTGCTCCTACCCCTTCCCCTCCTCCTCCCACACCTACTCCTCCTGCTTGACTTGCTTGACTCGCTTGACTTGAGGCAGATGAGTCACCTTGCGGAGGGGAGGATCCAAGCAATGCAGGACTGGCTCCTGATACAGTATGCAGTGGAGAAAGGTGAGGAGCGGTGGAGTGCGGTGCAGAACCCACATTGTGAGGAGGAAACTCGTGAGGGGGAAGGGGGCCGTGGGGGGGCCGACTGGGGGAACCGCCAGGGGGAGGGAAGAAGTGCAGAAGGGGGCGGTCAGCGGGGTGGGCGCCAGGGAACGGGGGAGGGGAGGAGAAAGGGGAGGAGGAAGAGTGGTTGGGGGGATGCGGAGATAAGTGGTGGGGCAGGAACGCGAATGGGCCTCTGGCATGGGAAAGCATGGGATGTGGGTACATGCCAGGAGGGGGGAGACCTGGCGGCGGGATGGTGGGGAATGGCATGCCAGGAGGGAAGGGAGAGGGGTTGAGCCCGGGGTGATGTTGGATAGGTGCATGGGGAGGCATCTGTTGCTGCTGCTGCTGATTCTGCTGCTGCTGCTGTTGCTGCTGCTGATGCTGCTGCTGCTGGTACTGCTGCTGCTGCTGCTGGTACTGCTGCTGCTGCTGCTGGTGGTACTGCTGCTGCTGCTGCTGCTGCTGCTGCTGCTGCTGCTGGTTCTGCTGCTGGTGCTGGTGGTGCTGCTGCTGCTGGTGGTCCTGTTGCTGCTGCTGGTAATCAAGAGGTCGGCCTGGCTCTACTGGGAGCCAGGGCGGGAGGGCACTACCAGGCACAGCATGTGGGTGGGAATCACCTGCCTTCTGCTTTTGAGTCGACTCAAAAGCGGGAGGTCGGCCTGGCTCGACTGGGAGCCAGGGCGGTAGAGAACTACCGGGCACAGCATGTGGGCGGGAATCACCTGTCTTCTGAAGCATGTGAGTGAAGGGCGGCTGTTGCTGGAATGGGTGCATCATCATGGGTTGCGGCGAGTGCATGGTGTGTGGGAGAGAATGCATAGGTGGAGGATGGGGCTGTGGAGAGGGGGACATGGATGGGTGCACTGGGAACGGCATGGGGAGGGAGGGAGGAGAGGAAGGCTGCTGCTGCTGTTCCCGCTGCTGCTTCTGCTCCTGCTCCTGGTTTTGCTCTTCCGTGTTATAATTGTTCAATTGCTTGTCTTGGCTGCCCGTATCTTGCACGATTGCCTTTCCACCCCTCTCCTTCTGCTCCCCCAATCCCCCTTCCTTTCCTGCATTATCGCACGACTTCCCTTCCTCTCCACCCATCTGTACCGCCTCAGAACCATTGTGCACCCCACCATTGTCAGCAACCACTGCCCTCTTATCACCCACACACTCACTGCTGCTGCTTAGCGTGTTCCCTTCACTGGCACCCTTCTCCTGCTCCTCCTTTCTCTCGCTTTCCCCCCTAAGAGCAAACTCCCCGCCCTTTCCATCCCTTTGCTCGTTGCTATCCCCGACTGACGTTTGCTTGCCCACCTGCGTTGACTCCTCCTCAGCAGCAGCAGAATGATCAGCATCAGCAGAATCAGCAGCAGGTTGTGCGGGAGGGGCGGGGTTGCTCTGGAAGAACCCAAACAGCCGCTTCACAATACCAGGCTTCTGCACCTGCTGCTGCCGAGGCTCTTGCTTCGCCATCTCCTTCCTCCCTTGCAGTGCATCTACAGAGCTGTTACCGTCTCTTTCTCCCTCCCCTCGCTCTTCTACTCCTGCTGCTGCTGTTGCTGCTGCTGTGGCTGCTGCTCCTGCTGTTGCTGCTGATTCTTCTGCTGCTGGTGTGGTATCTTCACCATCTGCCTTTGCTGCTACAACTGGGATTCCCTCACACGAGCGTTGTTCACTCACCATTTTGCCTGCTTCCATATCACCCTTCTTCTCCCCGCTCTTACTGCCTGCATTTGCGGCCTCACAAGCATCTGCTGCTGCACTCTGCTTATCACCACCGCCTGCTTCTTTCTGCTTATCAGTGTCTGATGCTATCTGCTTATCCACACCTGCTGCCATCTCCTTCGCAGAAGCAGCAACAGGTAATTTCCCATCCTTTTCACAAGCAATCTCAACACCACCATTTGCATCGGCATTTGCATCTGCATCTGAATGCACACCCACCCGCCCATGCACATGCCCGTTGCCACAGCCACCACTACCAGTGGCGCTGCCCTTACCCTCATGTGCCCCCAACGCCACGGAACCTCCAGTGCCAGCAACAAAACCATCAGCTGCTTCTGCTTCATCTCTCCCACCTCCTGCTTCTTCCTGTGCCCCACCAGTCAGCAGCGACAGCAGATGCATAGAAGCAGCAGAGGACCCTCCCGGCGCACCACTGCCAGACCCATCCCCGACTTGGCCCGTGGCAGCCAGCAGACCAGGCACCAACAGCTGCCCCAAACCAGGCGGATGAGGGTTTCCTGAGCTAGAAGCTTCCAAGCGTTCATCCTGCCCCTGCCCCTGCCCCTGCCCCTGCCCCTGCCCCTGCCCCTGCCCCTGCCCCTGCCCCTGCCCCTGCCCCTCGGCTGACTGCAGCATTGACGCCTCAATCTCCTCCAAGCTCTGCCACTGCACCGCCCCTGGCATGGCTGGCATGGCTGGCATGGCTCGCATGGTTCGCATGGCCCTCATGGCCCCTCCCTCATTCCCTACCTTCCCTTCCAAGCCCGCACCTTGCTCTGCTTCCAAGAACTGGCCTGATCGACCCTGGGAGGACACAGGGAAAGGAAACGGCAGAGAGATCCCAGAAGCACCGCCACCAGTCCCACCTTCCCCTCTCTCAATGTCTTCCAGACTCGGACCCACAGGCATGGGCAGAGGCACGGGCAGAGGCATGTTTCCAAGGTTTAGGGCAGCAGCAGACGAGTGCGGCCCAGGCTGGTGCCAAGGCCCTGCTGCTGCTGCTGCTGCCCTTCCGCCCCTGCTGTGATTGGTGGCGCTGTCAATGCTGGTGCTGCCCCTGGTGCTTGCCGGTTGAGAAGCCATAGGCACGGACGCTGAAGATGAGGTTTGATTGGGAGAAAAGAGGGTAGAGAGGGGTATGCTCCTGCTCTCAAAACCGCTGCCAAAGCCAGCACCAACGCTGCTGCCACCGCCGCCGCCACCAGCGGCGTTGCTGCTGTTACCGCTGGTTACCACAGTGGTGGAGGTGGGCGCAGCAGCAGCGGCTGCAGCGATTGTTCCCCTGCCTGCTGCAGCTGCAGCAGCGGTGGGAGCAGCTTGCTGGGAGAGAGCCTCCAAGAGTGACTCGATTTCTGCTGCATCGTGGGCAGAAGGCAGTGATACCTGCGTGCCTGCTAAGGGGCCAAAGGGGAAAGAGGGATTGGATAAGGGGCGAAGGGGGTGATAGAGAGAGAAATAAGGAGCAGCTTGTTGAGAGGGTGCCTCCAAGAGTGACTCGATGGCTGCTGCATCGTGGGCTGATGGGAGTGATGCCTGTGCGCCTGCTAGGGGCCAGGCGAGGGGATGTGAGAAAAGAGGCAATTTCCATCGGATTCGGAACTTCAAATTTCGAACAAACGAACTGGAGATTCCAGTCAATCCATCCCACTTGTTACAAACCATATTTTGTCATTTTGACGATGGCTGCTCATGTTCTTTTTGGTGGTGTTGATGGTGTGTGTGTAGTGTTTAGGTGGGAATGCACCAGAAAGCAGGTAGGGTGCAAAGAGGTGGGTAAACATGGCCAAAGGGCCAGCAAAACCCAAGATTCACAAGGCAGGAGTGCGTAAGCATGAGCATGAGATGTACCCGGAGGGCGGTTGTGTGACTGTGGCATGGTGCATGCAAGGCACTCTGAATGCTTGCTAGCCTCGCCTCCAGCATGTGATAAAAGAATTTTGAGTGAATTAAAAAAAAAAGGCAGGAGTGAGTGAGTGTGAGACATACCCGGTTGTTGTGCAACTGTGGCATGGTGCAGGGCACTCTGAATGCTCGCCAGCCTCGTGTGATGAGACGACTTTTTAGTTGACTAAAAAAACAAGGCAGGAGTGAGTGTGAGACATACCCGGTTGTTGTGCTGCTGTGGCATGGTGCAGGGCACTCTGAATGCTTGCCAGCCTCGCCCCCAGCGTCTCGCCCTCTCCCAACGTGCTCTGCCAGTAACCACAGACAGACAGAGATGGCAGTAAGCCCACAGCACATATCCAGATGAATATCAGGGAAGTGTAGCGTGAGCAAGAAGCGAGTATAGTAGGCCCGCCCAAGAATGTAGTCACATATAAGCTCCATACACATAATAAAGATGCTCTTTTATGTAGTGTAAGTTAGCCCAAAGACGAGGGCACGAGAGAAAATCAGGTTCAAATTGAGACGTCTCAAGAAAAGCAATTGAACCACGTACAGGGAGCAACGAAGCAGAAAGGCAGTGAAGGTAAAGATTTGAAGGAGCAGGCTGGGATGAGGCTTGATATCATACCGATTCGTAGCTCTTGGGATTCGTGAACAGCTGCGTCAGAAGCGACACACTACTCCCACTCATCGAGTCACCACTCCCGCCCTTGCCCTCCCTCCCTCCTCTCACTCCATTCCCGACAAACCCAGATAACCCCTCCCGAGAGCTCTCATCCATCACACCACCACTACCACCTGCCTGCTGCCCCTTCTTCTCCCCTCGCATCAACTCCAGCAGAGCCTCTGGTGTTCCACCCCCCACTCCCCCTCCACCCCACAACAGAGCAGCACCGGCAGCAGCCTCCGCAGCAGCAGCAGCGGCAGCAGAAGAAGCCAAAGACGAGTCAAGCCCGTTCTCTTTCCCCCCACTCTTGCTCGCAGAACCCTCCGCACTGCCCCAATCCCTCCCTGCCTTGCCCTCCGCAAACCCTTTCCCCGATCCTGCTGCTCCCCACGCTGCTCCAGAGCCAAGAGGCCCAGAAGACCAATCAAGACCGGGTTGACTGGTTTGACCGGTGGAGAACGCTGAGGTGCCAGTTGCACCCCCAGCCAAGAGCGCTCCAAAGCCCATCCCGCCCCAGATGCCCCTCTGCTGAAATCCAGCGCCGGTACCTAAGCCCGTGCATGTGCCCATGCCCGTGCCTGTGCCTGTGCTGCTGCTGCTACTGTAACTGTTGCCACCGCCAGTGAGCAGCTTGGAAAGAGCCGAGGTGGCGTCAGCAGCTGAAGAAGTCGAGGCATCAAGCAGCAAATCAGGAGCAATAGCCGCAGCTGTAGCATCTGTAAAGGCTTCTGCTTCTACTTCTGCAGATGATCTGGTTTGCTTGTCTGGGGAGGGACCGAAGAGGGATGATTCTGGAGGCAGGGACCAGCTGGGGGAGGTAGACCCTTCAGGGATAGGAGGGTGGGCGGGGAAGGGTGACACAGCAGCATTTACCAGCACTCCCACTGCAGCATTATCCACAGCATCCACTTTAGCAGGATCGCTCAGAGCCGCAACAGAATCCATCCCAGATGAGCCTACCCCAGCATCTGCCTCAAGGTCTGACGCAAGAGCCACACGTCCCGACAGTGCTGCTGGCCACCCACCCAACGTGTCTCCTCCTCCTCCTCCACTTCCTCCTCCTCTTTCTCCTCTTCCTGCTGCGCTCTCAACCCCTGCCACCAACAACCCAGACCCCAACCCAGAGCCAGCAAACAGATCGTTCACAGAAAGACGCTGCCCTGCCTCCCCTCCTCCTCCCTTCCCCACATCAACACCACCCCTCTCGTCACTCAACGCAAGCACGCCCGCGGCCGTGTTGGGTTCACGCTCACGGTCTTCCTTGACTTGATCCTTGACTACATCCCCACGCGCTGACTGCTGCAACTCCCTCTCCACGTCCTCCAGCGAGAGAGACGCAGAGGCGGGAGGGATCCCAGGCGGAGCAAGCCCACTCAAAAGGTGCGCCACCGACGTTCCCCCAGCACCAGCACTGCCACCAACACTTGCGCCTCCACCAGCACCCGCACCAGCGCCTGCTCCAGCCATGATTCCTCCCAGCCACGCCACCAGATTCTCTCCCTCGCCCCCTCCGCCAGAGCTACCCACCCCAGGCGCACCACCAGCAACAGCAGCAGGTGCAGGTACATTTGCACTCACCCCCAGCGCAGCAGCAGCGGGAAAGCCAGGCGGAGCTGCGGGCGCCAGGCCCATGAGCGCCGCCACAGACGGCGCCAGCGCTGCTGCCAATGCCCCCCCTGACTGCACATCCTTCACACCCAAATTTGAGTCCTCTGTGGCACGGGGCGATGCGAGGGGCTCTGAGTCGTCCTCCTCTTCGGCTGCTGCGAGGTTCTGATACGCGGAACGCCCTTGCTGCTCTGCTGAGAGAGCAGGGGCGTCCCAGAGAGAGTCCTCGTCGTGCCTCCTGCGCTGCAGCTCTGCCTGAGACAGCGGCGCCCTGTGAGGGGCTCCTGAGCTTGCTGTGCCTGCGGCGGCTGTAGCGGCTGTGGTGGTGGTGGAGGTGAGGGAGGAGGGTGCCTGGAATCCCGGTGGTTGCGGTGGGCCTCCCTGCTTCTGGTGCTGCGCCCTTCGGAACTGCTCGAACTCCTCTGATTAGATGGAATATGCGAGGGAGGGTTGGGCGATGGAGGAAGGAGGCGAGTGAAGAAGGGGTGGAGAAGAGAAAGATGAAGGGCAAACGATGAGGGAAAAGGGGTGAGGAGATTCAGGTAAACGGAAGGAGAGATATGGGGAACAGGCCTAGAGCGAAGAGAGGTACGAACGAAGGGAAGTGCGGGGTAAAAACTGATAAGAGTCAAAATAGATATGAGAAGAAGGGTGGGGGGGGAAGGGAACGTTTTGAGACTAAAGAGCGAGAAGGGAGACAGCAGAGACGAGAGAGACGGGAGTGACAGGGAAAAGGGGAAGGGAGAATAGTGGAGAGACGAGAGAAATGCGATGTGAGAGAGAGGAAAAGAAGAGGGAGGGGAGAAACGAGAAAGCTGCTCACCGCGGCGCCTCTTCTCTTCCTCCATCCGCCGGGCATCTCTGCTGCTCCCTCCGAACGTCTCGTCGTTGAACGAGTCCTCCACCATCAGCGGCGCCCCCGGCACGTACGGCTGCATGCGCACACACGCACGCACACGACAACGCAGGCACACACGCACGCACGCAAGCACGAACACAAGCAGCATGCACGCACGCACGCACGCACCCAAGCAACCAATCAAGCACGTAGCAACCGCACGCATGCACGCACACGGGCAACCAAGCAAGCACACACGCACGCACGCAAGCAAGGCAACGGGGAATAACACCAAGACACTCATGTGCGGTAAGAAAAATCAACGGAACACGCCCGCTGCTCTGCACACAACTGAATCGGAGGCCTGCAATGCAAGCAGCTACCTGTTCCAACCAACGCGGCAAAAAAAACGCATTGGACCACACCACACCACATCACATCACATCACATCACACCACACCACACCACATCACATCACACCACACCACACCACATCACACCACACCACACCACATCACATCACACCACACCACACCACATCACATCACATCACATCACATCACATCACATCACATCACATCACATCACATCACATCACTCAAGCCACTAAAGGCAAGCCCCCCATTGCATGCAAGCCTCACCTTGCGAGCAGAGCCATCCTCTCCTCCTGGCCTCTGTCTGGGCGCAGAACCGGCATATCCACCATCGCCTCCTCCTCCCCCCCTCCCCATACCACCCCCAAACCCTCGCGCCCCCATACCCCGCCCATACCCCCCTCCCCTCTCTCCTCCGCCTCGTTCCCACCCCCTGCCGCCCCCGCTTCCTCCTCCTCTCTCGCCCCTGCCAAGCATCCCTGCGGGTTGGTACCTGCTCCTGAGCCCATACCCCGGGCCAGACCCGTCAAACCCCGGAGGAGCCCCGTCACTGCTTGGCTTATCCGGGCCATACGCGTTACTGGCTGCGCTGGTAACAGACCCTGGGATGGAGCCGCTGTGATGTGGGCCGTACGGCCTACCATACGATCCCCCATGCGGACCAGCATGCGAAGCACCGTAGGCACCACCGTACGGCCTGGTCCCAGGACCGAAATCACCGCCAGAACCGCCAGCAGTGCCGTCAGCTTTTCCCCCTCCTCCGCCTCCTCCCGCGCCTCCGCCTCCTCCCGCGCCTCCGCCTGCGCCTGCGCCTGGCCCCCCTGCGCCGCCTGCTCTCCAGCTGCTGCTGGCGTCAGATGCCCGGCTGGCAGGGGGGACGGTGGACGAGGAGGCGGAGGAGGAAGACGGGAAGGGGGAGGGGGAGAGGGAGGGGGCGGGGGAGGGACCGGTGGCGTCCTTGCTCCATCCTGCTTGGCTGCTGGCGCTGGTGCTGCTGTTGCCCATGGAAGTAGCGCGGTCGGGGAAGGGCTGCTGCTCGAAGAAATGCGAGCGGGAATTCGTGTCTGGACGCAGCGGGGAGGCATGGGGTTTGGGTGAAAATGCATCCGTCTGTTCACCTGGCAATAGCTAGGAGGTTGTGTCACGCGCGAAGGGACAAATGTGAATTTGTCAACGCTGGGAGAGCGAAAGCGGGAGAACGAGACGGGGCCGATGAAGTCGTGAGGCGGTCCGACAATCAAAGATGCTGCAGCATGAGGTTGCTTTGAAGCAACGCAAGAAGCCTGTGAGAGAAAACTAGAGAGTACCAGTGGCGTCACGAGCTCACCTGTTTTCCAGCCAGGCTGTAGCCTCGTGACAACCGAATGCTCCTTCTCCCCAGGCGGGCCAGCACCAACCCCAACTCCCGCACCACCTGCACCTGCAACTCCAGCACCGGCTGCACCGGCTGCACCTGCTGCAACTGAAGATCCGGCTGCCTGAGGCCGAAGACCGCCAGGCACAACCCGACCACCCGCACGCTGATCCACACCCTCTCCCCCCTGACTCTGCATCTGGCCCTGTCCTTGGGTTCGGTTCAGAACCTGGCCAGGCTGGCCAGGGGCTGACGGAAACGATCCATCACCAGGAGATTTAATTCCGTTTTTGTCCAAGATCGGACGGCCACCGCCACGTCCTCCCGGGCCCGGGACGTTGTAAGGAGGGGTTCCCCCGGGATACCTCCGACCGTCTCTCCCCCATTCGGGCCCTTCGTATGCTTGTGGTGACCGGCCTTGGCTGATCATTCAAGTGGGAGGATGGAAAAAACGAGAGAGTAGGAACTTGCTGTTTAAGGGAGAAAAACGAAGAGAATTTGGACGGACCAGATTCAACTGGTCCGGTCGAACGTGTATACGGAAGAGATTGAGATATTGACGGAAGTTTAACAGAATGATGCGGCTGCGTATTTGTTCCAGTAGCGGCGGGCCCATGAGCGCCTTGATTTGAGGAGCCGCAAAACAAGACCTCACGGAAGTGTGACAGAATGATGTGGCTGCGTACTTGTTCCAGTCGCGGCGAGGTGGCCCATGAACGCCTTGAGGGACCGGAACAAATCCCTGCATCAATACCCTGAAAAAAAGAAAAGGAAACATCTGTTAGATATCCCTTGGAAACAAAACAAAACCGGATTTGCAAAGATTACCGGATCGTACAGCATGAAGTGGTGCTAAGAGGAACTGCAGAAGATAAAGCCGAAAGAAACTACAGAAATTTCTAATTCCGCTCGGCTTACCTCCATGGCGACGGATCGAACCCTGAAGGCGGTTCCTTGCACCTCGGGAACTCCGAGAAAGACTGCAGCTGACTGGTTGTGTACGTCTTCCTAGCCCTGCTAAGGAATGTCGCAGAGAAAGTAAAATCAAGTCGAATCAGCACAAGAATGAGATGAGATCAAGATTACATTCAGGGATCTATGAAGCCATAGGCATTGTTAGCAAGATGCGAATTACCTTGCAGTCTCGGCTCCATCAGACGCTACAGATGAATCCGCTCCCGCTGAACTCATAGCTGAAAGCTAAAGTGTGCAACGGCAGGATTTCAGCAAGCAACGCAGCGAGACCTACCCTGCATCCTAGGCAGCAAATCTAATCTAACCTACATAGAAAAAAGAGCAGACTTGACCAAGTTCAGGAAGACGGCGAATTGGAGAATTCTAGCTAACAAGTAAGACCATTAATCTATGAAATCTGGAGGACCATGAGAAAAGGCTTCGGGAGGAGGCCATGGCTGCTGCTGAAAAGGGAGAGACATGGCATGAAATGTGCATGGAATGAAGAATGGAAATGGAATTTGTTGTGGATGAGACTGGCTGGTCATTGGCTGCTGTGTGGACTGGATGAGCACTCCAGCAGGGAGTTCGAGCAGGAGTTCGCAAAGCCTTGAGTTCAGCTCAGGTTCGTATAGGGTGCCGAGCCAAGGGTTACTTTTGTTACCTAAAAGGTCTGTCAGCACGAACTGCCTATTGTTGTGCTTCGAGAGCCACCACACCTCATCGCATTTGACCAATGAGCAGAGTTATGAATTGCCGAAGCAAACAGGTCTGGGTTTCGCGAACAAGCGATGGCCATGGCTGCTTTGTGACTGTGGAAGGGTGCAACCTCCTATATTAGTCACATCTTTCAGTCATTAACAGTTGACACATGGTTCCAGATAATAGTCTTTAAACATACTACAAGTAAAGTTCATATAATTTCGTAACGGGTACCGACCTATCTCGGAGTCGACACTACTGCAAGACGTCTCGTACATGCACGAACACATCCCACTTCTGTTCGAGAGTTCAAGAGCATTCCAACTCGATCACCGACTGTTCGCCGCATGAGCTGCGATTGCTGTTTGCAGACTAGCAAGAGTTCGAGAGCGCGCTTCTCGCTCCTGTGGCGCGTCTTTTCATCTTCTTTGTTCTCCGTACAATCCATAGTGGTGCTAGTCATGAGGAGGTGCGTGCGAGTCCTTTCCGCCTCGCGTAGGTTGCTCGCAAATGCATCAGGCACAGCGCTGGATAGCACGACGTTAGCAGCAGTACCAATCGTAGCGGAACCCACCCGTGCATCAGTCGCAGCAGGATACGCAGCAGCCGCACCACCACTGTCGGACCATCATGTGCGGTCAGCTTCCGTCCGATATGCAGAATTGCCAGCTCTCAGCTCGAGTGCAGCAGGGTGCTTGCAGCGTTATCACGTACCTTCATTTTCGTTGTTGGGACGCCAGATCCACCCTCCATCCTTCAGTTTACAGAGCTTCCGCCAGGAAACGCGCTCGGCGATGACACTAAGTGGGATGAGGAGTATGAGCAGTGAAGTGGTGCGACAGACGCAGAAGCCGCAGGAAACGGTGATTCTCAGCGACAGATGCGCGGAAGTGAGTATTTTTATGCTCAGCTCGTCTTGTGACGATATGAGTACCAACGTCTGTGAGTTTTTAGGTCCCTTTTTGTGTAAGCGATGAGTGTTGGTTGGTCCTTTTGTCCGTTTGCTGTCTGAGCAGAGATTGACTGAGATGATTAAAGAAGAAGGGCGTGCCGTGTTTCTACGATTGACCGTGGAGGGAGGGGGCTGTTCTGGGTTCCAGTATATCTTCACTCTGGATGACAAGGTCACTGCTGAAGATAGGTAAGGTCCTCTCAAGCAATGGCCTTTCCTGGGGAATCTGGGCGTCTGGTGTTAGCCCATCCTTAGAATATGCCATGATCTCTTTCTTCCCTTTCATTAGGCAGACTAGTTGTTGCTGATTCCCCGTGTTGAGTTGCCCTCATCAAATACCTGTGCAGCATTTTCGACCGTGATGGAGTACGCCTGGTGGTAGACAACGTATCTCTGCTTTTTGTGGATGGCGCCACTGTGGACTTCACGGACGAACTCATTCGTTCTTCCTTTCAGGTGAGTACGTTGGAAGTACCGTACTTGCTTCCCACCAGTTTAGGGCGCGTGTGTTCCGTCAAATAGGCAAAAGTTTATATTTTTAGGGCGAAATTTGGTTTTGAACTTAAGTCGAATCGAATTCGAGTTTCCTTGTACCGAAGTTCGCACCTTGACGGAATGACACTGCAAAGATGCAATCACACATACAAGGTCGAACCCCAACATTCGACCTTGTAAAAGACGCGCCGAGCCGCGTTCAGAACCGTAGGTTACCCAGTACAAGAGACTTGACGTCGCGACACGTCAACCTGGAGCGCCTCGGATTACATCCAACTAGACCTCCAACACAGCTTTGTGCTCCGTGTGATCTCTGGGTACAAATAGCCCCCGTGGCACCACCGAAATTTGTCAATCGCTGACAATGACGCTTCCCCAGCTCGTTCGTGAAGATTCTGGAGTCGTGCCACGAACGGTGACACGTGTCCGGCGACCCGCGCCGTGGTCGCAGCGTGCGTTCGTTGTGCCATGTGGAGCTTCGCCAATCCATCGCCCGTTTCGCCTGGTCGTCGTACGTGCCAGAAATCACACACGCGCGCATGAACGTGCGCACCCACGTTCAGAAAGCCAGCTCGAGTCTAGTTCTCTTTTCAAGTGCGAACTTCCCTAATCCGTGAATTTCGCGATGTTCGTTAGGTGTTATTCGCGAAATTTGCGAAACAGGTAACCACACAAAGTTCGAACTTTTTTTCGAGCTTGGGCACGGAACACACGCGCCCTTAGATTGCATGCATGTGGTACTGGTACGTAACGCTGTTATGTCCTCTTATCCTGGTGTGCAGGTGATCAGCAATCCCAACTCCGCGTCATCGTGTGGCTGTGGTGCCTCATTTACAGCAAAACAGTAACAAGCACTTGATGTGATGTTTGTATTATGCTTGAGAAAGTCCGTTGGAATATTAATAAAGCCTTCAACGCTAAAATCCCTACACAGACAAACCAACCTCTAAATTACCGTATGCTTGCGACATTTCATATCCATATTTACCAGCTTGTCTGTGCCTAAGAAAGCGAACTTTCTAACGCAACCCACGCGACAAGCTGATTGGAGAAACTTCGTGGGCGTCGACACTCCACGAACCGTTCTGCCTTGTTGGCAAGCCGCGGTGCTGCGGTGGCACATCTCGGAGATTGAGAACCACCCTGTCAACCCATCGGGATTATCTCGGTGATCCTTCTGCCGAACTGTGGTGGAGCCTCGCACACGCACCAAGAAACAACTGAATGGGGCCACGCGCTCATCCACGCGTCACTCTCTTGATCTGCCCCCATCCCACGGAGCGCACATGCCCTCTGACGTGGTTCAGTCACAGTCACCAAGAACCGTTGGCCAGCTCATCAAGGTCGCGTCGTCGTCAGCCCATGAACCAGACAACTGAGCTGCCTGTGCGACGTTCCAGTATCAAGGTTGCGACCCTGGCATTCTCACATGTTCGCACATCGCACAGTCGCACGTTGGCAATCCCAAGGGTTTGGCGACTACTGTACTTGTTGAATCTTGGCATTTCAAAATCCTGTAAAGCCAAACCTCCTGTCAAATCTTCAACTGGTCCATCCATTCTTGTTCCAAGATCATCCATTTTCTCAGCAGCTCCTCTTGTTCCTGCTTAGCCTTTCCCTTGCAAGATTTTGCTTCGCAGACACAATTGTAAGAGAATACAATGGCGACCACTTGCATTTCACGCTCTGTCCTTTCAGCGCCCGCTGCCGCTGGCGCTAAGGCGGTCTCTGCCCAGCAGAAGCGACAAACTAGCCAACTGGTCTCGTGCAGATGCTCAGGCGTTGAGGCATCCGCATCCCTCCGATCGCGACTGAGCCTGCAATCGTCGTTTAAGGGCGATGCTCTCGTGGCTCTTACAGTCCGGGCTGTTAGCAAGCGATCCTCCGAGAGGTATGACGATTCCTGCTGATTGTCGGTCATTTTACGTGCACCTCGAAACTCGTTCCTCATTATCGAAGAATCCTCCTTTCCCTTTCCAATTCTCCGTTTTCTCTCATTACCCCACCCACATTCTCGCTTCTTCTCCCCACTCTCGTTCCCTTGCCACATTCCTATCTCTTTCTCCATTCTCCGCCCTCCTCCTCCCTCCCTCTATACTCTCTTTCTCTCCGTCATTTTTCCCCCACAATCACTCTTCCGACATCTGCATCCGTCGAATTTTGATGGCCACGTATCTCTCCACTTTCTGGAAGAGTTATAGAATCTTATAAATTTTCAGCCTTCCGGTTTCACCCATCCCTAGGAGGCTTAGAGAGGACCCTCATTCTCTGTGACCCTCAGGCTCGTGGTGGTGGACGAGGCCGTCGTGCACTTCATTCGAGGCGTTAACGAGCAACCCATTGTTGAGGCACACACACACACACGCCACACGTTCCTCAACCCCTTACTTTCCCCCTCCCTTTTCTTCCCGCGGTTGCTTCTCGGTGCGTGACCCGCAGGCTCGTGGTGGTGGACGAGGCCGTCGTGCAGTTCATCCGCGGCGTCAACGAGCAAACCATTCCCGAAGTCCGACTCACGCGATCCAGGTGCGTCCACGCTGCGACGACCTTCAAGGTCGACGAGTGCAACTCGGCCTCGTCACTTGTGACTTAGGATCGCGTTTCGAGGTCCGGTTGTGCCATAAGGCCTTAAGACCAATGCGGGTACCTTCACAGGTGTGGTTAGATGACGGTTGACACTTTCCGACCAGGGTAACCAGTAACCCTACTCTATTTACAGCCTGTCAATAATGCATTCATGAGTCATGTTTGCAGCCGTCACCTGCGCGTTTGCTGCGTGATCAGATACCGAGTAGGTAACGTCTACTCCGTTCGGTTTCACTCGTAGTAGCTTCTCACTGGTCGCTACGCATTAGACTTATTGCGCGAATTGCATCTGTCCTACTTCACCTCGTGTAGCGCCGAACCGTCAGCAATCGCTTTGCTTGTCTCCACGTGTGGTGCCGAACCAAGAGCAGTCCCTTTTGAGCTTCTCCGTGCGTAGTGCCGAATCGACAGCAGTGTCTGTCCCTCTCCTTGTCCCTTTGTATCCCTCTAAGTGTTGTTACCTTATTGTTCGCACAGATCCCCCCTCAACGTTTCCCTCAAC